GTTTTAATATCAAAGATGCAAAAACCAAAAAAAAAAACAAATTGCAAGAAAAAAGCATGTGTCTCCGCTGCAGCTCGACTTCGTTCTACGTACGAGTGTGTGTGTGTGTGTTGCCAAAGATGACGGCGATGATGATGATGATGGAGATGACGATCGCTAGTTGGCAAATTGGGGATGGATGCAGCGTCAGCTGTTGTGCAAATAAAATATGAACTACACCAATGCATATGTTTGTAAATGTATGTGTTGATGTGTTCATGAAAATGTTGTCAACAAAAGCACTTCAGGCTCGCACACGACCACCTTTAGAGCAGCCATGGTGCCCGGAAAGGCTAGCAAGACAAGTCGTACAACTTGCTGTATTTTCTGTTTGCGCCTTCGCTTGGCATGTGGCATTCATTTCTCATTTGCGTGCCATAGCGCAGCAATGTAGTGAATGTCGTGCAATCGACCGCTTCTTACCCCTATCAAAACCGGCATTTCATTCAAGCAGTCTGTTCGCTGGCACCACCGTCTGTCAGCTTGTCGCTGGCTTGCCTTAATGCGCTTGCTGGTGCTGCTTGTAATCGTGTCAATTCCTTTAAATGCTTTTATTTACTCTTATTTTTTGAGTATTTGCAAATTCCAGGTGTAAATTTATCACCACAAGCACACCGAAAAAAATGTAGTCAAATAATGACAAAACTCTTTCGAAATAAAGAGTTTAAATATTGATTGTTCACCTCATCGCTTAGGAAAATATCAGCTTGCTGTCGGCTGTCGGTTTGTTTGACTTTTGATAAGCGTATGTAAGGATTTTTGGCTATAAATTGAAGTGTGTCGAAGTTTTTAGTGTTAAAATATTGAAACAGTGTAATGAAGAATTACACTGTGAAACAGCAATTTTAAAGCTGTATGATAGAAGTTTAAAATTGAATAACGATTAGTTAGCAATAGCTATTTCGCTTGCGTTCCTCCATTGTACAAAGTTCCTGGTTAGATCGATCGGAGCCCTGTTTTTTATTTTGATCTTTAAGGGTTTAGTGTGAGTGAAATTCGTCGAAAGAGTATTTTTTTGTTTTCTATATACCAGCCAGGCTAAAAGTTCGTATCGATTTAAGAAATTATTTATTTTTTTCCATCGAGAGCGATTATAACCTTCCCATTACCATTTTTTAGTATGATTTCCTGTTTGTTTCTACGATTACTACTTAATTGTCACTAAATTTTTTTTCCAGCAAGAATTCTCTATAGATCTGAAAACCGGAAAAAGTTGGCGGTGGCCAGTCTATGGTGACAATATATAGTTATTATTCATGATAAAACATCACTTTTTTCAAATGAACCGTATTTCGGTGTTTTCGTTCATCAAATATTCAAATAACGCCATATAACAATCTCTGTTGATAGGTTGTCGTGTTCTCAAGAGGTCTTTATAAAAACTCTCAGCCTAGCGGTCAAGTTTGTCCAATAATATGAAGATCTCGACTTCATTTCAAATTTCGTATTTATAATCTTGTTGATCCACACAAAACTTATAAGCCGTATGTAATACATATAGTAAATATATATTCAAAATTCAAATACAATTATTTTATTCATCATCTTCTATTGTTAGTTCAGATTAACCTCTAAATATGATTTTTTTAATTCTGAAGAATGTATTTCATTACTATATTTAGAACATTTTAGGTTCTTACTAACTAAAGGTGAGCTAAGTTCGGTTGTCTGTCTGTCTATCCGAACTTTTGTTCAGTTTTTCAGATATCACTATGAAATTTTGCACACGTTCTTTTCTTGGAAAGGACAAAACCTTTTTATTTTACGAGTTAATGTCACGAAATTTAGTATGGATTATTTTCCAAATCAACAGTACAATCCTCGAAGAAATTGTTCCGATCGAACAACTGCAGCATATACCTGCCATATCAACTGATCGAACAAAATCCAGCCCTTGTATGGAAAACTTTTGCATTTTACGAGATATCTTCACGAACTTGGAGACAACAGTGTTCTTCGAAGATTATTTACATCGGACTACCACAGCATATAGCTGTCTTACAAATGGATCGAACAAAATCAAGTTGATGTATGGGATCTTTGTATTTGTGAAAAGTGTTATAATTTCAGTGCAACCGAATTAAGGTTTTTTTCTTGTTTTTATGTTTTATTTTTTCAATACTGCCTTTCTGTAATTGAGTGTTAACATTGCTGTTCATTAATTTTTAGCTATTTTTTTGACTAAATATATTAAATTCTGGTGAACTACTTATACATTATATTTACATWCATACATATGTATCTATGCTTTTAAATGTATTAGCGCACATGTCAACAATTTGTAGATTTTTGTGTATGCTGCTTTACTTCGTTTGTTCTTCGTTTCTTATTGCCTGAAGTACATGTGTGCAATGTCCATATTTTTACTTGCTGGCATTATAGATTGTTGGTGTTGTATTATGCTACTATGGAATACCTACTCCCACAAAATCTTTAAACATCTGCTTGGATTTCTTCCTGTGAATGTTTTATGTACTTGTATGTACCTATTACTGTAGAGAGGACAACGACACTGCAGTTTGCATTAGTTTTATATATATTTAAGAAACGTCATTGCATCCCTTAAAATCATATTTTTGATTTTTGTTATTACTTTGTAACTTCTTAGGAAACTAGTGGAAAGGGTAAACTACTGAGATTTTTTCAAATAAAATACTTTTGATATTTTTAAAATTTGTTTCTCTAGCCTGGTCTCCCACAAACATAACTTCAGACTTTCAAAATAAAAATGTAGACAGGTAATGTAAAATATTTGTATTTTAAAATTCCCATTTATGGATATAATACTATATTTTTTTAATTCGGCAGTTTTGGAGTTTTTAATACTGTACAACTAACTTTAGTTGCTGGAACTCATCGCTTAAGGGGAAAAATATTTAAAATACATTTTATCTAATAAATAATAAAATCTGAAATCTAAAAATAAAATATAAAAACACATACAATGTATGAATATTTAAAAATATTATAAAAATGTTTTCGTAAATATAAAAAAACATACTTTCCTTACTTATACTTACCTATCTAAGAGGTAGGGTGAATATCTGACGATCCTTTTTTATTTTTCCTTTTTTATTTTCATTACGACATACTGGTATATTTTTTCTAACGGTAAAATATAAATTTATTAATTAATACATTGATTTCAGTGTTAAACATAATTCAGGACTATATACATGCATAATATATATAAATTAGGCATTGCAGTGGTGTCAGCAGCAGTTATTTAAAGAAACATATTTGACTTGCGAGCAAATAACTTTACTTTGAGCAACCTTGAGCCATTTGCATAACTCAATCAGCCATTACCATTATTTACGCGAAATAGGGAAATTACCCAAAATAGCTGTAGTCCGATTCCCACAAAAGTAATAATACTCATCCTTGCAAAATCATTTTTCAATTTGCAAGAGTATTTCGCCTTCAATTATTTGTTTATGAGCGCAACGCACACACAAAACTAAAGCGGATAAATAAAAAAGCGTCAAAATGAAAAATGCACAATTTCAACGACGGACTTTTTTATGCCATTTTTATTATCTTTGAGCACAAATGCTCGCTCAATCGAAACGGAATTATTCGCAATTGAATTTTTGCACCGGTGCACATCGCGGTTACGGTTGGGCGAGGAAGCAAAAGAGTCCACCACCACCACCATCATCAATACCGCCAACACCAATAACTACCAACCAACAAACATATGAAGGTAAAAAACAACAACAACCACAAATCTAAGACAGATAGTTGCACTGTGCTGTGAGTACATACATATGCACATAAACGACAACAATTTAAACGTAAACGTGCAAACAGCTTGAGTGATTTGAGTCGGCGCGCAGCGCGAATGCAGAATAAACAGAAAATGTGTAAAAATAACGAAACAGCTGCCATTCTACCAGCGTATGAAGACGCCATCAACAATAAAACAACAAAAACAACACATATATTGCATTGTTGTTGTGCCGGTCAGGTTTGCCTGTCCGCGCACACAAGCGACAGCCAAAAAGCCAGCAGCAGTTAGTCACTCGGGCGTTTGGCCATAAAGTTGCCCTTACAAACGCGCTCTTAGTTTACAAACACAATCAAAGTGGGTATACAGTGTGTGTTATCGCTTATATATTTAAAATAAAATTTCTACTCGGCAGCTCGTTGTCGCACATTTGTTTATCTACTGCTTATCGCCTGTCTGCCTGATTTCCCGGCCCAAGTTGTGAGCAAAGCACTCAAGCGCTCGAGTTCAAAGTTGTATTGAGTGAGTGAGTGTGTGAGTGTGTGAACGAGTGGTTGCATGAGTGCGATACAAAGTCTTCAGCTGCTGCCGCAGCCGCATACAAAGAGCGCTCAATGTTGACCTGGCCTTTCTTTGGCAGGAATTGTTGACGTCGTCGGGGTTATTCAGTTAATATTCTCACGTCAAACGGTTTAGATCGACTTTTGCGTGATTCGCAAGAAGCAACCTAAATGTACATTCGGTCGTTGGCTAGCAGCTTGCATGCTCGTTCGGTTTTCTTTTTTGACTTCGTTGCTTGCTTGCGGTTATAAGCTATGTACGCTAGTTAGTTTGCGCTGTTAACAACTTCTTTTACTTAGAAGCATACTCACTGCGGCTAAAGCGCATTGTTGTTGCTCGGTTAAGTTAATATTCATTGCTTCCGCTCAGGAGCATATAAACTTTTGCGTTTCAAACAGGAAGCCGTAAACCATCATTAAAAGCCACGAATATAATAGAAGGAGTTTGAGAAACTTCTCGTTAAAATAACTTTTAGTGGAAAAAACGAACGGCGTGTTAGTAAAAAGACGTGTATAATGTTGAAAAGCTTTAACAGAAAAGCGTAACAATTCAAAGTTATAAGAAAACTGCATAAAAACTAAAAAATAATACAAAAATTGTGTGAAGTAAAACAAGTTGTATTAAAATAAGAATATTTAACTAAAAACTAAATTGAAAGCCAAACGATTAAACAAAATGTTTTGACAAAAACTTAAAACAAGCAAATAATCAACATTTATTGTTGCTGTTGTTGTTTTAGTGTTTATACCTAAAGTAACTTGCATACCAAACCGTCGTTACGACAGTGTTTATTTAATCTAATAAATTATTTTTGTTTTAACACAAATTTAAACGTTTTGCAACTTTCCCGTCGCAAGCTTTCACTGCACCAAAGTTAATTAATTATTTGCTATATACTAAACTAAAAAAATAACGCCATGGGTTTATCAGAAAATCAAGCCAACAGCTATATGCCAACTAGCACAGGACCTGGTGGTCAAGTTGTCGTCATGGAGTGCCCAAATCATCGCATCTCCAACAAAAAGCTGCATATCTTGAAGAAAATCAAAAAACGTTTCGGACTAGGTTAGTACCAAGCAAGTGATTTCGTTTGATTTTTATATCTCTTAAAATATAAGAGGTTCAGGTTTTGCTGAAATTTGTATATACCAAGTGTACCTTTATATGTATATTTTTATATATTTATGTGTTTGGGTATAAGTATATATGTACAAATTTAAAAAAAAAATGTTTTTATATCACCTTTTAAATACAAAGTCATAGCATCATCCCCTACCAAAGATTTCTTCCTTTATCTGCCTGTAGTGCGATCGTCAAGCTGGCTTTCATGTAGCAAATAGCCAGAATTGGGGATGATTTTTTCTTTATCTTAAACAGCACAAAAAACACGGCTTGTGTAGATAATTTATCTTACAATCTTTAAAAATTTAACCACAAACGGATGATTTTTCTGTATAAAATATGTATATATGTATTTTAATTGTGAACAACTTAAGGACGCTTTGTAATTTTTTGCAGTTTATATAGTATGTATTTGTAAAACCAAATTTTAATTTTATTATCTCTTTTTATTTGTGGCCTTTTTTATACAATATTGCAATATTTTTAATTCTTT